CGGGGTCTGTTCCCGGCCCCGGGAGCGCGGTGTCGTCTCCTTCCGCGTTTCGGCCGCGTCCGGCTTTGTTTCCGAGGCCCGTGACGGAGCGCTCGGGGGAGGGCGAGGGCGTAGTTCCCCGTTTCTTGAGTTATTCACCCCGTTTCGCCTGCCGCGTTCCTTTCGAGTGTTGCACCGAGGGCGGTTTGTGGAATAATGTGCTGGTGCGTTGTGAGCGCAGTGAAGTGGCCGATGTTTACCGAGCCTGGTGCGATTGTCGCTCTGGTTTTTGTTTCCAGCCATGACCATGCAGTTCATCAGTCACCGGTTCCCAGAGGATCACGATCCCACGATTGGTAGGAAAAAATCTCTTCTCTTTGCTCTTCACTCCCTCTCTTATCAGGTTGAGCTGTTGTGCAGTCTGTTGCGTTCAAAGTACTCAATTTAAAGAAAGGTGTATATAAATTTGGCAGTCAGTTGAGGGAGTGCCTTAGATTACTGGTTTAAAGGCATTAAGCATTCTGAGACTGCCGTGAGGGCTGGGATACGTATCCTGAGTTTCAGGTCTCTGATGGTTTCCCTGTCACATATATTCAGGCTGTGCACTGTCTGTATTTGTTTGTATGTTGGCAGACGAGGATGAAAGACTGCTGTGAAGTGCTGATTAGTTGTCTGTTCAGAAACTCGAGTCTCCATGCTGTAAATCAGCTCTCTGCTGTTAATTTGTCAGGCTAAATTGTGCTTGGAGATTGGGAGGGATGAAAGTGCTGAACAACTGAACTATATTGCTGCATAGCTTTTGCAGCACCTCGAAGAGAGACCTGAAGCAGGAGTTGCACTGTCAAAGGAACAGTAGGAATAACAGCCAGCTGCTTGGTGAAGGTGGACTGGGAGTGCTGACTTAGAGGGACAGAATATTTATTGTCTTACTTTTGAAAAAAAAAAGGCAGTTGGTGGTGGCCAGTTCTTCTCTTGAGTGACGGGTGTTTTCTGGCTTTGAGAGTAATGCTGTTATTCCGAGCTCTCCACCAAGGTGTCCAAAGGGGATTTCTAGGATGTGGTCACGTGTCTGTCGGAAGTAGCGTGTACAATAGCGTGATTTTAGCAAACGGTCGGGAGGATGCTAAATCACACCAGAGCAATTACAAATTTAATTTGTTGTCAAACAAAGACCAGACTAATGTACTGTAGTAACGTTACCAGATTAGGTGGTTCTACTGTAGCATTCTCTTTGCAAATTGATGACTAATGAGTATGGTAATGGTATTCCAATCTTGTTCTTTCCAATGTGCTGTGAATTCCCAGAGGATGCCTACAAAATACGAATACGCATTGATGATGAACCTGCCAATCTGGATATCTTGGACACAGCAGGACAGGTATGTGAGTCACAATAAGTGAATTGAGAGGATGTTAACAAGTCTGTAACGGTCAGGTGCAGAGACAGAAATCCTCTACGAGTGTGCCTGTCTCTTCTTCAGAATTGTTTCTTGAGTTCTCTTGCTTCTTCTAAGCATCCTGTTGCTTTTAGCGTCTGTGTCGTGCTGTCTGTGTTTAGGCAGCTCACACGGTACTCTGGCTTCATGCACTGCTTTCTCCGTTGCACCTTGCTGTTCATGGTCAACAAGCAGTATGTATTGGCTGATAAATGCCGCGTTGGTACCATTTCTGTAGTGAGGGAAGCTTGGTGTTAATCCCAGACAGATGTAATACCTCGTTCTGCGTGTAGCGGGACGAGAAGGTAGGTGAGCAGTGTGTTTACAGAGCTCCTACGCAGCCGTTTTGGAATGTGTTTTGTGTTTCCCGTTCTGAGCAAATTAGAAGGTCATTGTATTTGTGCGATTGAAATGTAATTGTCTGTTTTTAGGCAGAGTTTACGGCCATGAGAGACCAGTACATGAGGGCTGGCGAGGGATTTATCATCTGTTATTCGATCACAGACCGACGCAGTTTCCATGAAGTGCGTGAGTTCAAACAGCTGATCTATCGTGTTCGACGCACTGATGACACTCCCGTGGTCCTGGTGGGAAATAAATCCGATCTGACGCAGCTACGGCAGGTAAGTGGTACGAAAGAGGCCCACAATTACAAGCTGTTTCTGTTGTAAAATGCAGCAATGCAGGAGGTTATACTCCCTTTCTTAATTTTTTTGAATGTTTACTATATAATAAGCTGAACAGTAGAGAAGTAGTTGTTTAACCCGGAACGTGCTGAATAACCAAACGCGTATAGCAATCGTGAGAGTAAGGTCTTTAAGTTGATGCTTTGGGTTTCAGCTGCTCTTGGGCTTGGCTGTTTTTTTGTATTCCTGGAGGGAGATACCGTGAACAGAGGCTTCGCGTTCCCTAAGCCGCTTGCAGGTGCCAGTACAAACGGCAGATGCAAGCGTGCCATGAAGGGACGCTTAATAGTGGAGAACTTGCATAAGAATAGAGAGAAAGGAAAATTGCTTTCAGCTTAAGAAAACAGCGGCTGCCGTCTGTGGGCAACCCGTTTGACGCAGAGCTTCGCTTGAGGGAACGCACTTTGGAAAACGAGTTCCAGAGGAGCTGTTTGTATCCCTGGAATTGGGGGAATGTTCAGTGTGCGTTGCAGCAGGAAGATGATGGTCGCTATGGTCGAACACCCGTGCTAAGCGATGTCCAGTATAGGGTGAGGAGTGGGTGTTGCTCTTCTGTGGCCTCGGCAAGGCTGGGGTTTGTTTGGTTTGGGCTTTTTTCTTCTTGGAAAGGTTTTGTGTGGTTTGACAAACGTCGTAGGGTTTGACCAGGAGAACAAAACACCCTTAGCTTCACAAACTGACACATGCTCGCAGCAGGGCTGAGGGCTGCTCCTGTTAGGCACCTCTGAGATTAAGCTGCATGAAAAGAGTATTCTTTCAAAGGACTTTGTTGTTTCATGAACGTCCAGGCAGTCTCTTGCAGATGATTGCGTTGCTAGAGAAGCGATGAGTGAAAGAGAAACAGGTTTGTACAGAAAGATTTAGAGATGGGTGGAAATGAGCTGCTGGAACGGGGAGGGTGTGTGCGCAGTTACAGAGCAAGCAGAACGAGAAATGGTAAAGAAATCAGCTCTTTGGGTTTACCTTTTTTGACAAGTGAATTTTTTTTTCCAGGTCTCCAAAGAAGAAGGCTCTGCTTTAGCACGAGAATTCAACTGTCCTTTTTTTGAAACTTCAGCTGCATACCGTTACTATATCGATGATGTGTTTCATGCTCTTGTGCGAGAAATCCGCAGGAAAGAAAAAGAAGCAGTAATGGCCATGGAAAAAAAATCAAAACCTAAGAGCAGTGTGTGGAAAAGACTGAAATCACCATTCAGAAGGAAGAAGGATTCAGTCACCTGAAGAGAGAGGGTTCCTCTGCAACAGAAAACAAAACCTGCGAACAGCCATTTGTAACCAAAGCGGTTTGGTGACGACATTTTGACAGCGTATTTTAAACCGGTTGGGACTCTTCTGAGGGAATGCATAACTTTCAGCAGTTATTTTTTTTAGAGTGATGCTCCCTTAATTTCAGACATTTAACTTAAGGCGCAGTAACAGCTGTGCTTTCGTTTGTTGTTATTTTTTCAT